GAATTAGCTGGAGGAATCACTTCTGCAGGTCAGTATAATATTGATCTTGTTGCTAAGTTTGTGTCTGGGAAAGGTTTCGGAATAAAATACGGAGATACCGATTCTTTGTATCTTACCTGTCCAGATAAATATTATAAAAAATATAATAGAGCTTTTAATGAAGGAAACCTTTCCAAGGAGAAATACTGGTCTGAAATGGTTAAAATTACTATAAATGTGATGAAAAAATTGCGTGATGAAGTAAATGCTTATCTAAGGATAAAAAATGGCATATCTTATCTTAAAATGGCATATGAAGAGGTATTATTTCCTGATTGTTTTACCAGCAAAAAAAAATACTTCGGTATACTACATGAAGAAGTTGTTAATTTCAAACCAGATAATCTCTTTAAAAAAGGGATTGATAGCATAAAGCAAGGCCAGTCCCAGCTTTTCAAATTTATCAGAAAAAAAATCATGTGGGAAGCTATGGATACACAATCAATTCATAAAATTGTTGAAGATACTCTCAGAGAGGCCAAAGATAAGCAATAGGACTTTAGTCAATTTATTGGGACGGCTACGTGGAAGCCTAAGAAAAAAAATCTTTGTGTCCAGCATTTTATAGCTCGAATGAAAGAAAAAAAATTAAATATCCCAGATCCTGGTGAGCACTTTAGTTATGTAGTAGTAAAAGGTGAGCGTTATCGCGATGAAAAGAGTCGATTAATACCATATAGAGTCAGTGATTATATGGAATATCCGGAGCTTGCAAAAGAGCAGAATATGAAAATAAATATCAACTACTATTTAGAAAGTGTGTTGGGATTATGTGCGTGGTTTATTAATGAAGATAAGAAATATCAACCACCATCTTCATATAAAATTATGCAACTCTAAGATTCAGATGAGAAAGAAAAACAGATTGATACATATTCGCAAAAAGAAGCTAAAAAATGGCTTACAAAATATATTAAAGCCTTGAATTGATTAGCTATGCTATTCTATATTGTTAAGTATTCTTGGTTAGAATTGCCAGACTCCACTAAGATACTTATGTATCTTTAGACACTAGCTCTGCTATACATTATTAATTATATTTTTTCGTACATAAAAAATAACAAAGTTTAAATAGATGTTCACCTAACCCACGTATCCTATTGTTGATCACTTTTTTTATGACTCTTTAGAGTCGCTCCTTTGGCCTGTGGAGCAATGGCTCTTCGAGCCTACCTATATTTCATGTGCGTCTTACAAACCACACAACCACAATAATTAACAGAGCAAGAAAAATATATGCTGATAGTGGTGACATTAAAGTGCTTGTCACAGGAGAAAGAGGCAAAGCCTCAGGATCAGGCCTCATCTGAGAATTCGATTCAATTAAAGCTGATATATTATTATCCAGTTGTATAAGGTGTGGAGTTACATTTTCAGATATAATCTGTGATGTATTGGGTTTTATTGATATATCTAGTATATCATCCTTGTTAATTTCACTAATGCTAGTTCTATCCTTTACTTCAGAATTAACCTCTGTATCAATTTTTGGTAGTTTGGTAATCTCATCATTAACGAAGCAAGTACCAAAAGTGCTAGTTTGTGCTGAGATATCATTATCGATTTTTTTAGCTTGATCCATACTTTTTCTGCATACAAAATATTGTCTGAGATTTTTGTTAGGTTCAATAACTGCAGATATATCATCAGACTTGATTATGGAACTTTGTTCCTCGCTCTGCGTATTTTTTTCATTATTCCCACCAACTACAAGTTTTGATTTATCCTCGGATTTTTTTAGATATCTAAGCTTACTAACCATTGAAGCTAACTCTTGTTCCAATTCAATTATTTTAGATTTGAGGGATAATATCTCAGATTCTTTTTTGGTTGAGTTATTTTGAATTGAAAATGCATCCTTCTGAGCCAATGTCAACTTACCTTCCAATATTTTGATTATTGACTGGAGCGATTTCATTTTTTTCAATTGGGCATCATACTTGGCTTTATACTCAGCCTGGGAAATCTGTGATTGAGTAAGTTGAGATGTAAGGTTAGTATTCTCGCTTTGAAGTTGTTTACCCTCATCAATAATTTGTGAAGTATGAGTACGTAATTTTTGAAACTCGGTACTATAACGCAATGAATCCCGATTCCACTTTTTTCTTTCTCGATTGAAAGCCTTTACTTGTTTCAAGTATTTGGATTGTAATGCTTCATTGCAATCATTTAGCTCAGATATAGACTTTAAACTGTGATGTAAAGATTCTTCAAGTTCTTGTTCCCGCATACTACCAAGGCGATGCCCTTTATCAAAATCTTGTAGTGTATATACATTGGCCATATATCTTTGGTAAACTATATGTAATATACATAAGATAATTTATAAATTTTAGAATCTGATATAAAGTATTGAAAAATATCGGGTAATTACTGGTTACTTTAGAAAATTATTGCAAAATAAATATATAATTACCGGTTACTTTAGAAGATTATCACACATTGATTATATATAATTACCGATAATTTTCGAAAATTATATATATATTTTTTTATAATTAAAAAAAAGGATGGAACGCATAACTGTAGAATATTATCGTGCCGGAACGCCTTATTTACCTCCAGAAGCTATTGAGGAAATTATTCAATCTCAAGGGACAATTAAAAATGCATGTAAAGAAATGGTTGATAAATATGGTACTTCAACAGTCGAATTTATGAAATTTGGAAAAGGCATGCACAAGGATTACCTCAGCGTAAGCAACAAATGATACAAAACACCTTTCCTTCTGAAATAGCATCTATGCCTAAAAATAATATCTCAAATGAGCGGACAAAAAAGAAAAGATCTAGTTCCAGATCAATTCACTTTTCTCACTTGTCTTCTAATAGTGGAGAGAAGATAAGAAAAATAAGTGAAAATATTATAAATGATGACATTCCTAATACAGATATAGTTGCCCAAATTGAGCGAGAAATAAAAAGAAAAGATAAAAACTTAGCTAGTAGCGCTCGTATAAAATCTACTACTTAATCTATATTGATTTTATCTGCAACAGACTCAATAATATTACCACACTTCACTTGCAAAGCTTCATTACAATCATTAAGTTCTGTAATCGATTTAAATGCATTATAAAGACTTTTCTTATACTTCTCGCAATTTATGCATTTTTTTTTAATGGTGTATTGTTATCGTCGCTATCTACATCCTGCGAAATTTGATCAGGTATTGAAGTATCGGTATCTTGAGATGTAGTTGCACAATTCACCTCTAATTTATTTTTAACCTTGTGCATATTGATTGGGATAAAGAACTCCTTACCATTGCACTCTAATCTCAATTGGCGATTCGATGCAAGTAGATCGTAATTATGTTTATCAAGCAAAGTATTGGGTAAAATCAGCATCGGCTTATGATGTTTGACAACAGCAAAATCAGAATATATAGTACAACCTGGGGTAAAAGTTACTGGCACATTACGGACGATTCCAATAGATTCAATAGGTGATGTAGCAATTCCGCTAAGATCGTGTTTTTCCTTTGTATCGCTTACAAATTTTAAACGTTTAACAATGTCTTCAGTTATAATTGGAAAATTTGCACCAGGGTCAACTGTGGCTGCCGGAATTACTATTCTTTTGATTTTACACTTTGTAGTAACAACATCTGTGGCTGTATCTTTTTTCTGAACAAAATCAATTTCTATAGGATCGTCTAACAACTTTTCTTCACTATCCGAATCAGGTATTTTTGGAGCTGGTTCTCTATAATTTTTAGCAGAGATAGTTTCATTAAAATCAGATTTTTGAATAGGTGGAGCCGAAGTGGGTAAACTCTCAGTGTGAGCTAGCATATTGGTGTTAATCTTAGCTTTAAGTTTCTCAATCCAGTCTATAGGTGCGATACCATCAAGCATATTTAGTACAACTCTCTGAAGAGATTTATCAATAATGGTGGATTTATTTCGTGATTTACCAAAATTAGGAGTCTCTTTCTAGTCTCTTTTACAAGGCTTGAATGGGTTTCCAGCTCGAAGCTTTGCTTTCTCTTTTTTGATTTTGGGTTGCTTTGATTTCTTTTTAGATGGCGATTTTGTAGATTTGCTCTTATGTTTTACTTTTTTTTTACTTTAGAAACATATATATTAATACTATGATCAGATTCGGCTTCAGAGGGGGTATTTTCAACATCAGACCCTGTTTCAGAATCGGATCCAGAATCGCTACCAGAAGAATTGTTAGTATCTGAGCTTGAATCCAGAGTAACCTTATTAATA